CTTTTCTTTGTAAACTCCTGTGCTCCGAGCACGGGATTACAATTTGTAATTCTTCATGTGGTCCGCCCACATCATGAATTCAATATACTTTGCTAGCGATATTTTGTCATCAAAAGAGGTCCGACCTCACTTAGCAATAAAGGGCGGCGGCGGCAAAAAAAAAGGTACGCTGCCCCCCCCCCCCCCCCCTCGGTGTTTGGCCGACCTCGGCCAGGCTCTTTAACCGAAAATAGCCAAGCGATTTTCAAGAATCCGGTCAATTTTCTAAAGTAAACAGCTAGCCGCGACAGTCGAGGCGACGGTAGGGCCGGCCTCCGGGTCGAGGGTACTCAGGATGATGACCTCCGGGTCCTTTCGAGTGCTCGCCGCCTAACATCGCTGGCCAAGCAGCTCGCACTCTCGTCATCCCTGAGTTGGCGGTGCGGGTTCGTTATGGTGGATCATGCAGGGTCCGCCCCTGTTGTTTGGCTATCCATGCGGGAGTAACCAGATTATTCCCCAAGTCTGGGCAAACTGGACGGGTTAAAGTGACAGTAGGACTGACCCCCGGGTCATAAACGTTCAGGATACCGACCTAAGGGTCTTCCTCGTCGGTTCAATGTCCGACCTTGCTGGCCAAACAAGTCACTTACTTGTTGATTCCATATCAATAGCGAACATATCACTTCTGCCCAACTAGGAGGGGCACGGGTAGGCTCGGCCACGCCAGCCTAATCGCCCCCCGGGAGGTTAGAGAAGCCAGATCCCCGAATAAATTGCTAAGTATTCGTAATGCAAAGTATAGAAAAGGAGGCGTATGAAATAAAAATCAAACATCCATTCGAAACACAAAGTATTCAAGTGGGAAACAAAGGAAATACAAAATACAAGATCATGACTAGGTGAACTCATCCTTATCAAGTACAATGGTCTAGTGAGGGGAGTTGCTAAGAATCTCAAGTATCTCTCTCCAAATCTGGACTCCAGCGCGGCCCATGCTATGGTCATCCCCCTTTCGACGGGTGGTCGAAGGTGACTACTATCCGCCACACTCCAATTAGTGACAGGCCTGCCGCTAGCCACCTTTGCTCCAATCTGAGTTGCGGGCGCCAACCTCCGAATGCTTGCCGCTCAACATGGGAGGACATGAAGCCACTTATCCCTCATATGCGCCCGGCCTAAGCCTCATGCTGATGCCCGCTTGTTGGTATTCCTACCTGCAAAAAAAAAAAGTCGTTGTTAGAAGGGCACCCATCTGGAGGATCGCCCACCTGTGAAGAATAAGAACGTGGCCTTCACCCGCCAGTCCTATAGCAAGAACGCCTGGTAGGAGGGGCACCAAGCAGTAGGGATTCATTCTAATACGTCCTAAAGGTTGAGGTGCCAAGACGTTTGGGACTCATACAGAACAAGGAGACCATCGTCGTCGTGGCCGCTGCACCTTTCGCGGCCTCCATCCTAGAAGCTGTCGCTGAGTGATGGAGGTCAGCAGTCCAACCCGCGGCTGGGCATCACCGTCAACTCACAGAATACCGGCCAACCAAGGGCATGGGACCTGCGCCACAAGCTGCCAGCAGTTGACCAAGTTGAAAGGCGCCAAAGTTCCCTATGTCCACAAGATTAACATTTAACAGTGAACGAACATGGGATTGCTATGCCTGCAGGGTTTTTAGGCGGACTGTTGGGGCATCTATTCACACATGTTTCCGTCTCTCTCAAGGTGAAAGGAAGAAGATGGCAGCAGCCACCTTGCGGCTAGGGAGAAGAACCGCGTCGGGGCAACCGCCGGCCAACGCGGACGACCGACGGACTGGGACGCCGCCGCATCCGCCGCACGATGGAGGGCAGCCAAGTTTAGACCCGCCGCCAAGGAATCCATCGCCGTCTTGGATCTGCTGCCGCCGACTCCGTCCGGAGTTATCACCGCCTGGAGCCGCCGCCTAAATCCTGGAAGCAACAGCGTTGACCGAGCGAGTGACGTCCGACCTGGGGCACTGGGCAATTTTCCGCTCGAGTTCGTCCGCCGTCATGAAGATCCGTTCGGTGAAGCCTTGCTGCGGACGAAGGTTCAACCCGGTGACACCTTGCCGCTGAACGACCGCCAGCCTGGAGATTCACCCGGCGACGCCCTGCTGCTGAAGAATCGGTCTGCGATTTGAGGGTTGAGGCATGCTGGATTTCCGACTACTGTGCTGCGCAGGGGAGCTGGATTTCCGACTGCTGTGCTGCGCAGGGGAGACGTGAGGAAGCGCAGGGTTTCCAGGAGAGAGAAAAAAGAAAGGAAAGGAAAGAGAAGAAAGGAAAGGAAAGGAAAGGAAAGAGAAGAAAGGAAAGGAAAGGAAAGAAAAGAAAAGAAAGAAAAGAAAGGGAAAAAAAGAAAAGGAAAGAGAAAAAAAAAGATAAAATAAATTCCGAAAATAATTTACAAAATTATGAATTTCAGGAATTTTTGGCAGTTGATCTGGATTTGAAGTCTCGGAGAAAGCTGACTACTGGGATACTAGGATGCTGAAGGAATTAATTTTGAAATCTCCATGAATTATGGGATTGACAGATTCCACAATTATGACTCCCTAGTATGTGAATATCTTTTAATTGGGAGTTGACTTGAACTACCCCCTCATAGCAGAGTCTACTACTCGACTAAGGGAGTGGGGGACTCGTGATGGGGTTATGGGACCAGGCCCAGAGCCTAATCGGCCCAGGCCCCGAACTTGGACTAGCAAGCCCAAGCCCAGCAACCCAGAGCTCGAGTCGGCCCAACCAATCAGGGCAATCAAGGAGCGGAAGCCCGAGAGAGCTTGTCGACCAGCCCAACGGGGAGCCTGCCTTCCAGCCCAGTGGGGAGCCTGCCTTCCAGCCCAGTGGGGAGCCTGCCTTCTAGCCTAGCCAGAAGCCTACCGACCACCAGCCCAGCTGGGAGCCTGCGGTCCAGCCCAGGTGGGAGCCTGCCTCCAGCCCAACGGGGAGCCTGCCTTCCAGCCTACCCGGGAGCCTGCCTTCCGGCCTACCCGGGAGCCTGCCTTCCAGCCTAGTGGGGAGCCTGCCTTCCAGCTCAGTGGGGAGCCTGCCTTCCAGCCTAGCCAGGAGCCTGCCGACCACCAGCCCAGCTGGGAGCCTGCGGTCCAGTCTAGCTGGGAGCCTGCGGTCCAGCCCAGGTGGGAGCCTGCCTCCAGCCTACCCGGGAGCCTGCCTTCCAGCCTACCCGGGAGCCTGCCTTCCAGCCTACCCGGGAGCCTGCCTCCAGCCCGGTCAGAAGCCTTCCTCCAGCCTAGCGGGAAGCCCACCGTCCAGTCCAGCAGGAGGGAGCTCAAGCATCCAGCCTGCCAGCCAGGCTGACCTGCCAGCCAGGAAGAGTAACGGCCAACAATCAATGCGCTACTTAATTATGTGTTTAATTCCGTATTAATGTTGTAATTAATTTAGTCATTATTATGTTCGGCAGTTACCATTTGTAATCGCCTATAAAAGGCAATTCGAATTTCAAATACAGATATGCTATTTCTGGCTAACTTTCCATATTCGTACTTTCCTAATTCTTGCTTGAGTGTCGTACGTAGCTTTCCTAAAAGCCTACGAGCGTCCTATTTTGGACCAACAAAAAGAGATCGATAATAAAATTACTCTTTTTTTTTAAAATATTTCTAATATCATCAATAATGAGATGGAGATAAGATGAATCCTCTCTCTTTTTAATCTCATCGCCTCTGTTTCAGCCACGGTCCAACCCGCTGTGTGAGAAGCTCCCAATGCTCTAACAAAATCACCATATTCATCTCCACCAATCCAGCCCCATGCCCTTTTCTTCCCTTCCTAGTTGACCGCTTCATCCACATTAATCTTAATAGTTCCATTCCCATGTTTAACCCACTTGTCCCTCCTATCCTCGCCCGGCGTTGCCTTCTCCATGCCAGAGTCTTGAGCTTCTATCCAACTAGCCAACATGCTAGCCGCCGCATTTAAAACACTAGCGGCCTCCTGTATTTGATTTTTCCAAATCGCATTATTCCTCCTTTTTCAAATGATCCAAAGAATAGCCACAAACTTACTTCTACCCTCGATGTCAGGTTTATCCAGCTTTTACGTCAATCAGTTCTCCGTCGTGGGCTGCTCATACCCCATAAAGCTGGCTGTCAGTCGCCACACTTGTTGAACTCGAGTACATGACCGCATAGCATGATCTAGGGACTCCGACATCCTGCCACAAAGTTTGCAACTATGCTAAATATTCACGTCTTTCTTCCTCAAGTTGTCAACAAATGGAAGGGTATCATCCAAGACCTGCCAAACAAAAAATTTAACCTTTGGTGGTACCTTAAGATCCCATAAATGCTTCCATCAATGCTTGAAGTTCGCCTTTAAGTAGGTGGTAGCTACTATTCACAGAATACAAACCATTATTTTCCCCCTTCCACCAGTACTCATCCTTCCAATCTTGTGAACTGATCAGAATACTAAGAATCAAATTCCTATCCTCTTCATTAAACAAGGAAAAGATTCTGTCAATATTTCATTTCTTCCCCGTGATATCGCGTAAAGCCGCTACATTCATATCACGGACACCTTGGGGACGAGCAGATGAAATTTAGAGCATGTTGGGTTACACTTAAATTGACTGAATCTGCTGAAATTTATGAAGTTCTAACTGAAATTGCTAGATTCGATGATTTTGTTGATTTATGAAAGAATTATATACTATCGTATAAAATTTATTTTATTAATAAAATTAAGATAATATTAAATGAAAAAAGTTAAAATGATTTTACACGCTAGTTTCGGTCAGCTCAGCTACAAAGCTAACTTCAATCTTCCTTATTTTGATTACTACAAAATTTACCATGCAACATAAAAAATTACGTTTTAGATAAAAATTACTAATAAGACTGATAAGCCGAAAAATATGTCATGAACAGATTACTCTTAATCTTGACAAGATTAAGAAAAGAGTGATCCAATTACCGCTAATTTCCTTTTGCACCCCTACTTAATTATTGTGCCACGCCCTAGCTAGCTAGGTGCCTTTTGGGTTTCGTTCAGTTTCCGCAACCCCAACTTATCTCTCTCCCTCTCTTTATCTCAACTTTTTGGATGTTTACAGACTTTTGCAGTCTTCTTATTACGGAGTACAACAATCAGTCACCTGCTACTGATTCCATTAGGGTTTTCTCCTCTCAGCCAAATAATCTCACACACATATCATTAATTTCCTCTTTTTATTCATTTCTGATCCTTAGTCATCAGATGGTGGGTGCAAAATATTCAGCTAAAAGAATATATCGAGAGAGACGAGGAAATTGATATTTTACCGGCAAGCAGCACAGAAAGGTACAAGCTTAACTTAATTACGATACTCTTTCATAGCTTCTTTAAATTAATTGATTAATTATATTCTTCTCCATATATAGCTAGAAACTCCCATAACTTAATGATAACTTATTTAGAAGTTAATTAGATGTTAGGCAATCGATCATCCAAATTAAGCTTCTGGGCTGGAGTTATTTTTTGTGTGTAATGCAAACTCCAATGGTTTAGATCTACAGATAGCTAACTTAGCTTGTGGTAATAATGGGTCTGATGGTACTTGGGTTGGAGTCCCTTGAGTGTACCTATATTGAGTAACTATGTTTATTAATGAAGTTATTTTTTGTCAAAAAAACTTGAATTTATTTCGATATTAGATCAGAGCAGATCAAACTATTCAAAACTAATCACATATGTAAGTCTGATCGGGTGAGATCTTTATTTTGGATTAAATGGAATTTGGTAACACAATATTTAATTTGGGATGTATGAAATATGTATGTGTATCTATATGTAACTACACAACAAGACCATTCAAATCTGAGTCCTAAACGAGTTGAGGTGGACCAACATAAATTAACATGCTAAATCCCTTCCGAAAAAGTTTGTCATATTGACTAGTTTTTATTGAAGATGGCAAACATTAGACAATGATTTTATTTATTATATTTGTGTATAATTTATAAATTTTATACGGTTAAGAATATATTTTCAATACGAAATATTTTGATATAATTTTCATATACAAAATTATTTTATATTAAAAAATATCATGGGAAAAGTACGGAAAAAGTACTTGTGGTTGGACCCATTTTCAGATAGGGTCATGTGTTCCGTTTTTTATCAAAGTAGTTCATGTGTTTGAATTTTGTTATCACAAGAGGGTCACGTCATTAAAAATGCCTGAGAAAGATGGTTAATGGTAACTTCGATTTTTAAAAGTGACCGAAAAATTAAAAGAAAAATATCGGAAGGTACGCCATAACAAAACGATCACTATACCATCTTTCTTTTTTCTTTCCAGTCACCCTTGTCACAGGAAAGTCTAAAAGAAAAGTGATATTAGTGAAATCATTTTTAAGAAAAAGTTCAAACATATCCGAAAAATCCAAAGGCGAAGGTGGTTTAGAGGTCATCTTGACGAGGCGCACCTTTCAGTATTTTTCTTATAATTTTCCGAACACTTTTGAAGATAGGAGTTACTATTAACCATCTTTCTCAGACGTTTTTAACGGTGTGACCATTTTGTGATAACGAAATTCAAACACATGAACCACTTTGATAAAAATTAAAACACATGACCCTATCCGTAAACGGCCCAACCACAAGTATATTTCATGTACTTTTTCCAAATATCATTGATCAAAGTTAATTGTCATTGATCAAGAAAAATCAATATGACAATTTTTTTTGGAGGAAGAGAATATAATTTAGGTTGGGTATCAATATGTGTTGAGAACAATATAATTTAGGTTGAGCTCACGAAAATTTGAGTAAATATAACGCATTCCATTAGGATGTATCTGTTCAAAAAAAATGAGAACTTTAAAAAATGCTCAGAAAAAATAATTAGTACTCGGGTATGATTTATGGCGACAAGCGTATCTTAAAGTGGAATCGGACAATTATAAAATACTCTCTTCGATCCTTAATGAAGTTTACACTTTGACTTCAAACATATTAAAGAAATAAATTTGACTTTACTGTAGAGTACTGTTTGGCACTGTTTGACACTGTTTGACACTGTTTAATACTGTTTAGGGTAGATCTGTTTGCCAAATAAGGCAAATAAGGAAGTGTAAAGTTTAATATGGGACGGTCCAAAAAGGAAAGTGTAAAGTTAATTAAGGACAGGAGGGAGTAAACAATTGCCAACAAGGCAACAAGTGACTTAAAATAGTAACTGCCTTGAACGCCGAACGCCGCCGTTTAGGGCGGTTCCGGGTGGAAGTTTTTGATGAAATTTTTTGATCATGTTCCTCATCAAGTATAGTATATGCATACCAAATTTCAGCTCAAAATTCGATCGGAAAGGCAGTCAAATAATTTGTTGAAGTTAACTGCGTTTTTCTATGTATAATTTGGCGCAGTTAAATTCAACAAATTATTTCACTGTCTTCCCGATCGAATTGTGAGCTGAAATTTGGTATGGACAAACTAGTCTTGACGAGGAACATGCTCAAAAAGTTTCATCAAAATATTCCATCAGGAACCGCCCCAAACGGCGGTGTTCGGACGGCGTTCGGACGGAGAAGTGCTGGACATGAGCACTTCTCCTTCATAGTAATACTCCGTATTTTGTCTAAATTAAATTTATTTTAAATAACATTTTTAAATAAACCTCTTATAAAAATTGAAAGTTGTATTCCAAATTCGATCGTATAATTTCTTGTTTTCATTTTTTACAAAAAGATTTCTCAATGACCTGAATCACACACAATATGCGTGTGTGATGGTTGTGGTTCGAACAATAGGAGTACTTTTTTAGAAATGCGAAATATAATATTTACTTTAAGTGCTCTAAATTCAACTTCTTGTTCAAATTGTGTACTTTTTATGATGGCAAAGAATTGAAGGTGCACTTTATTAGGAAATAGCGACTTTTTGTCACTATTTTTGCATTGGCAATACGGCATAGAGAAATACGATCACAAATCTAATTGAAAAGATTGATGTATTCTCATTGAAAAATTATTGTCGCTGTGATCTTTTGAAAATACAAACAAATTTATACGGACTCTATATTAATCATGTTTAAAAAAGTTTGAATATAAACAAGAGTACTTCTTATGATAAATGTGAATCTAAATGTTACGCCTTAAAAATGGAGGGATTACGTTGTAGTCATGAAACGGTTAATAACACAAGAGAAGATGAATTGTGTGTGTATGGAGTCATGACAGTTTTTCGTCAAATTCTATGGTTAAATAAGTACGCAAGGATTTAACGAGGAAAAATCATATGACTCAAAAGCGATTGAAAAACTTCAACCTCCCTCGGAGGAATTTTAAACAACTTTACTAAAGCCTTAAAATGGTTACAAGATAAACTCTACTAGTCTACCATTGAGTCACCCAACTCTATCCTCTCTAACTAGGAAGAGTTATGCATCTCTACCTTGCGGGTAGAGAGTCACTCAGCTTTACAACAAAGCTTCTCACAACACACGTATCAATCCAGAGGATGCTTTCAATAGCCAGTCCTCAAAAGTCAAAACCCCATTACGAAGAGAAGGAATAATAAAGAAACTATATCTAGAATTCCAATGTGAGTTGTTCCAGGTGCTTGAACTTATACGATTCTTCAATAGAAATCATCTCTATATTTTCTGTCTTGGTCAAGCTCATTTGATCTTCATTTTGATCTTCAATATATAGATCGTTAGGATTGATCTATATATTTGTTTAGTACGTAGCACAAAAAAGTCATCAACAAAACATTATACTCAACAATTTTATTATTACAATATGCATTTTAATGATTGCAATTATAATAAAATTCTCTATGTTTACAATTGTGTTATCACATTATATTACTACCTTAAAAATTGTTCAACCTCGTCCTTTCACTTTTTCAAATTGCTGACCAATTTTTAAGGAGTTCTAGTGAAACTCATCTTAAAATAAGAATTTATTGTGATGAGAATGCGACATAAAGAGGGAAATGAAAATGGATCGTGTACATATATTAAACGTTAAAGCTTGGGAATATAATGGAATAAAGTAAAATGTCTAACCATCTGCGTTCTTTATTATAAATCAACAGTTAGTTCATGTAATTTTCGACGCGATTCTCATCATATATCATTCCAAAATAGTCTCTATGTGCTTTAATACCGGGTAAGGTCAGTGATTTGATTCTGATAAGACTTCACACATGCAGTTTGGTTGTTGTGCCTGTAACGACATAGAGCAATGCCAATAATGATAACACACACACGCACTAATGTTTATGCTAGCGGCTCTCACGAGCAAATTAAAACCTTCATAACCTAGCTAATAATAAGTTCTCAAAATAAAAGCACTTCTACTTGTCGCTACCTAGATAATCGTATCAATCTTGAAATCCATCTATTAATTGATTCGTTCCAATGTGACAACAAAATCGACCAACTTAATCTCGTATTTCTTAAGTTAGGAAATCGCCTATTCTTTTGACATTGCGTTATCATTATGGAATGAAATATCGGGTTTAGTATAGCATTGTTCATTGCTTTCAAATTAGGAATACATGAATTTTGTAGCATCTTTAATGTCACAATGTGCACGGTGGTTTACATGTATCATGAAAAAGATAGATACACAAATAATAATCAATAAAATGCATATCTCCTTATTTTCCAAATTGTAAAAGAGAATGTCTAGTTGCAATTTTAGTCCTGTAACTTTCAGCTGTTATCATTTTTTGTCCTGTAACTTTAAGCACTAGCAAATTTGGTCCTGTAACTAATAAATCTTTGTAATTTAAGGATTTTCCCACCGGAAAGTACACTTTGCGGCGGAAAAGTTCGACGCCGGCGACATCTTTTCCCGTATGCTATTCCCGAAAAGTTTACTTTTCAGGGGAAAAGTCCTTAAATCGCAAATATTAATTAGTTAGAGGACCAAATTTGCAAATGACTAAAGCTACGGGACTAATAATGATAACGGCCGAAAGTTACGGGATGAATATCGTAAATTTCCCAAACATATTGATTGAAATTGTTACCGAAGCTATATAGAATTGTAGAAGATTGCATTTTTATATTGAAGGACAAATCTTAATGTATATTCACTACTTCCATAATCATTTTCTCTCTTAACATTTACTGTACGTTTCTTAAAATTATGAAAGTTACTCCGTATAATTTACAGTTATGTATTTTTTTTGGAAACATTTACAGTTATGTATTTGTTACTCCGTATAAGATTATTTTGAAACATCGCGAAGTTTTCTTATACTCCGTAGTTCTTAATAAACAAAAAGGTATAAAAGTATCCTATATCATACTCCGCAAGTTAATACGTATTTTTACTCCGTATACGGAGTAATTTTTTTAAATAAATAACCGTCAAAACTCACGGCTTTGTACTTAAAAGTTATACTCCCCCGTCCATAAATGTTCTTCCTTAGTACAAATGTCACACGAATTAAGAAAGTAAGAATTGTGTGGTGGAAAGTTATGCAGAGGAAAGAGAATTGTGTAAGAATGTGTAAGAATTGCTGTGAACCACAAATTCTTTGCCAAAAAGGGAAAGTGAAGTTCTTTTTTAGACGGACAAAAACGAAAAGTTGGAAGTTTTTTTAGGAACTGAGGGAGTAATTTAATGAGATTGCGAACTACGTACTGTATTGAATATCAAAAGTTAACTCGTAAATGATTATAATTCATTAGGTAACGTTAGAGATTACATGAGAGTTAAAATCAATTAATGCAATTGTGCAATTAAAGAATTTTTCTTGATAGATTTATGCATCAATTTCTACACATACTCCGTACTTGGTAATAATACAGTCATTTTTAAATTCGGGGTGATCTAAAATATAGTAATAATCCTGTAGCTAAGTATGCCATTGAATGCATGAAAAGTTTATAAAAGCGTTTTAGAAAATTATTGAGTAAGAGATTGGAAAAGTACACTAATAGAAGAAGTGCATGCATGTTTTATCATCAAAATTTTCCATAAAAGTTATTTGATTCTATTAAAAGTACAAAAGTTTATCAAATAGGAGTAAGTTAGTCATATACTATAAAGAAAACATTGGTAATCATATTTAATTTATGCATTTTTCTATGTTTTAGTTCAATTTAGAGAATTTCTCAACGCTAAACTACGACCGAAGACGTATGATTTGGAAAGTTATCTATATAGGACTAAAACTTCATACATTTCTGACAGAATATTAACTCTTAGAGAGAAGTGAGAACTAGAGATAGAGAAGTGATATATATTAATGAATTTTCAACCATTTACATGGCTCCCATAGAAAGCATTTATAGGAGAAAAGTGGGTTGGGCTCTCAAGTCTTGGGCTTGGGAGGCCCATTACAATATAAGGCCTCTATTGGGCTCAGTACATTCGAATATATTAGCTAAGTATGCAATGACGGATCTTATTCATAAATTTTGAAGGTTCAAATTTATTTTATAAGGTTTGGGTGTTCAAATACATATATAAATTTTTACACTAGCACCCATATATATGTATTTTTACACTACTAGTTAAAAAATTTGGATGTTCACATGAACAGTTTTGAACATAGGGAGGTCCGCCCCTGTAAGTATGGAAGTCTGCCTCTGTGAGCTCTCTATGGTCGACGGAGGTCTGGCCGACGGAGTCCCGGCCGACGGGGACACTTCGGTTCTCCTGACTTCTGAATCATATTCTGAGTTGATGTCTATCTGGCCGATGGAGGGCATCTGGCCGACACAAGACCCACTGGGTGACAATTGTGCTTGCTATTAGTCTTCTAAGTATGTGGGTCATGGGATCTGAACTCATATACTCCATCAATTTACAATATATATGACTAGTAAACTTAAACAATCTATATGAATAATAATTAAATTGAAGGGAGTAAGAGTATGTATCATCAAAACACATACTACATATAATACATGCAAACCACCATTAATTTAGGAATAAAAACTATTTAGTGATATTTCATGAATCACCACTCCGTCTAATCACATTCTTCCTAGCAAGTACGGAGTAAATTTCTCGTGTAATTTTAAACAAAATTATTTACAATATGAAAGTGGTAGTATAAAATATAAATATATATGGTGTTGACTGTTGACCAATTCACACATAGCTTTGGACTTACCAAATGTTTTGAACAAAGCTATAAAATCTGTAGATATATAAGCATTACACTCTCTTGAGAGTACTTATTAATTATACACTAGCTTTAATTTGTATATCATGATTATGATTAATTTGCAGCATTTAAAGTTAGTGATATAAGTTCAGCATTATATTGTTGATTTGTTGATGATATATGCATGCAGATTTACAAGGTACATCCACAAATTATAAACTAGGCTACTACACAACCACTTAATCGGGTCGGGTCGGGTCGGATTGCTTTTCCAAACAAGTTTTCGAGATCAGAGGTTAAAGATTAAGGATGTCGTCTTCTAGCAACTCAAACCCACCATGTGCGGCATGCAAGTTCCTGAGAAGGAAATGCCTGCCGGGGTGCGTCTTCTCGCCGTACTTCCCGCCGGAGGAGCCACAGAAGTTCGTCAACGTCCACAAGATCTTCGGCGCCAGCAACGTGAGCAAGCTGCTGAGCGAGATCCAGCCTCACCAGAGAGAAGACGCCGTCAACTCCCTCGCCTACGAAGCCGAGGCGCGGCTGAAAGACCCCGTCTACGGCTGCGTCGGCGCCATCTCCGTCCTTCAGACTCAAGTCCTCCGCCTCCAGAAGGAGCTCGAGGCCACCAACGCCGACCTCATGCGCTTCGCCAGCTCCAACAGCAGCAATAACGCTGCTGAAATCATGTCGACATCCTCGTCCGGTGGGTATTCACCTGTCGGGAAACCGGCAGCCGCCGCGGGTAGTAGTCTCAACGGGCACGGTTCTCTGTCGTTCAACCTGCAGCGCATGACGATGGCCGGCGGCGGCCATCCCCACAACATGGCGATGATGATGCAGCTGCAGCAGCAGCAGCAGAATGGGAGGTCGAGAATGACAGAAGGTGGTGATGGGGGCGGAGGAGGGTTGCAGTTGCACAACTATGCGCAATCTCAGGGAATGACGACGACGGATTACTATTATTCTTCTGCGTGGTCTAACAGCTCTTCCGGCGGAGAGCATAACTCCGACGGTGCCGATAATGGCGATTGCTCTATGTAGCTAGAGCTCTTTAATTTGCGGTTTATTATACGGAGTACGAATGAAGAAATTGCTCCGATCCATATATGGAAAGTATACTATACTTTTGTGCTTGTTTTAATTTGGGCAGACAGATCGAATTATGTACAAAACGAGACGCACCAGTGAGCCGACCATATTTTATCTACATGTACTACCTTTGTTTCTTTTTTACTCCGTATTTATCAATATATTTTGACTGCATTTTATCAAATTTAATTTTTTTTGAACTGATTTTTATCAAATTTAATTAAAAATTTTAGATTTTATTTTTTACTAATAAGAAATAAAAGAGTTTAATGATTAGAATTGTGCGAGAAAAGTGGACATTTGCAGAAATATTACATGAAATAATGTGAGACAAACCTGCGGAAAATCATAATGAATCCACATTTGTGGAAGTAAAAGATTTCGGAAGTGGCTGAATATATTTGGTGAACACGTCAATCTTCTAACTAATAGAATTATTAGACTGTACTTTACATTAAACTCTCCTATTATAAATATATCTGTCAGGGCTCCTTAGAGAGCATCATATTCCATTATTTCACATGGTATCAAGGACACAGTAAAACCCTTAATAATTTTTTTCGTTTCTCTCTCTACTACCGCCGCTGCCGAAGATGTCTTCATCCTCCACGCCAGCTACTTCCGCAGCGCCATCCGTGGTGGTCTCTTCCGCAACCGGCATGTCATCTTCTTCCGTCGCGTCACAAATTCCCCTTTCGACCGGCGCTCCACTTCAGTTTGGAACGCAGCCAGCCATCTCTCCCTTTGCATCTCCCAGGCAGACTGTCGTGCCTCCTTCCCTTTTTCCGACCATGCCTCTGGCGTTTCCCTGGCCAGCACCCACTCCAGTGCAACGGATGTCCTTGGATTCGCCCCCCCTTTCAGCCGGGCCTTTTTTTGGACCCACGTTCGTTGGATCACCGGGAGTCTCCTCTACTCTACCACCTCCTCGGACCACCACCGTGGGCAGTACAGCCGGTTCCCCCTTGGCAGACCTGGTACACAGCATCTCTCATGTGGCTACTAATGTCACCAATATTGTTACCACAAAGCTCCTTGAAGTGGAAAACTATACTACTTGGTGTACCCAGTTTGAGTCCTTTCTTGTCTCATAAGGTATTCTAGGCATGGTTGACGGCTCCATTCAGGTACCTCCTGCTTATTCCATAGATATGCTCAACCGTCAAATTCACAATCCCGATTTTTCTATTTGGCTACGAATTGATCAAACAATTCGCTCATGGTTATTTGCCACTCTTTCTCGTGATGTTCTCATTGATGTTCGGGATTTAAAACACTCTTGTGAAATTTGGGAACGGTTAGAGTCTCGGTTTATGTCAGCCAATTTGGCCAGATCTATGGAATTAAAGCGCTTATTTTCTCAAATTAAAAAGAAACCTGATCAATCTATGGATAATTATTTACGGGAGATAAAAATTTTGGTTGATGATCTTGCTACAATTAATTGCCCTGTCCCTCCTCGTGAAGTGCTCAAAACTACTATTATGGGGTTGGGACTTGAGTATGAGTCCCTGTTCATCACTGTCTCACTTTTTCCCCAAAATTTTCCTTTTGAGACCCTACGCAATCATCTTCTTGAGCTAGAGCAGCGGGTTCTCTACCTTCGCTCCCAGGAGTCATCATCAATGCACCAGGCCTTCGGTGCTATTGTCGCAGGGGTCCAGCCGGCAAGCCAGCAGCCACAGGGATCTCCATAGCCGGGAACACAGCAGCAACGTCCACACGGCCAGTCGCAATGCGGCCGTGGTCCCAGTCGTGGCAGGGGACGCGGTGGTCATGGGAGCGGACGAGGACAGCAGGGGGTTCAATATGGGTAGCCCATGTATTGGTATCCGCAGCAGGGGCAGCCAGGCTATGCCCCGGCAGGCGGTGCTCCTTCGGTTCCAGCCGGGTATTCTCCACATGCAGGGGGTGTGCCGACTACGGGTACTGTTATTTGTAATTCTCCTATGTCACATTTAAATATTAATGCATTGCATGTTGGTGTTACTAATTCCAGTTCTACAGGCTTACCATCAGACGGGGTATTCTTGATTCTGTTCCTCATCCCGTTGTGTGTCAAATTTGCTTTTCTGCAGGTCATTCTGCGGTTACTTGTCCCTCTCGCTTCACTCAGCCATCCAGTCCAGCTCTGTTGTCTACTCCTGGAGAGTCTAACCCTGCTTTATTGTATCCTGATTCGGGGGCCTCGCCTCACATGACTGCATCCGAAGGTATTTTACAAAATAAATATGTTTATACTGGTTATAATTCTGTTAGTGTTGCTAATGGTGTCCATTTACCCATTTGTCATGTTGGTGATGTTGCATTACCTTCTTCTGGTCGTTCTCTCACCCTAAAATTTGTTTATCATGTGCCTCAGTTAAAGTATAATTTAATTTCAATTCAAAGACTTTGCGCAGATAATAATTGTACTGTCATTTTTGATAAAATTTCTTTTTTTATTAAGGACAAAGCCTCGGGGGCAATTCTTTTACGAGCTTCTAGTAGTGGGCCACTCTATCCTCTGCATCTGCCATCATCTCCATCCTTAGTTTTAGCTTAGGTTTTAGTTTCTGACCCTGTGTGGCATCGTAGATTAGGTCAGTGTGGAGATAGTATTTTGCAATTTCTTAAACGTCGACAATTCTTATGTAGTCACTCCCCTTTTACTCATGAGTGTGTTGCTTGCCGATTAGGAAAATCACAATGATTGTCCTTTATGGATGCTAGTCATAATTCTTCTTTTCCATTACAAATTATTCATTCTGATGTGTGGCAGTCTCCAATTTATTCTAATTTGGGCTTCAAGTTCTATGTTTGCTTCATTGATGATTACTCTCGATTTACTTGAATTTATCCCATGTGTCACAAAAGTGAAGTTTTCATGCACTTTAAGAATTTTAAAGCTTTGGTTGAAAATCTTTATAATCATAAAATTAAAATTTTTCAAAGTGATGGGGTAGGCGAATTTGTTAATCATAATATGCAGCAATTTTTCTCAGCTAATGGAATTTATTTTCAAAAAATTTGTCCTGACACACCTCAACAAAATGGGGTGGCTGAGAGAAAACACCGTCATCTTCTTGAATTAACTCGAACTATGCTTCTTGAAGCCTCCGTTCCGAGTCACTATTGGGTTGATGCAATTTTTACAGTTGCATATATCATTAACAGACTACCATCTCCCACATTAAAGGGATTTTCTCCATACCAAAAACTTTTTCACCGTGTTCCTAACTACTCTTTTATGTGTGTGTTTGTGTCAGCATGTTATCCGAATTTTTCGGCCACCTCAGCTAATAAACTTTCACCTAGGTCTGTTCAATGTGTTTTTTTCTTGGCTATGCACCGGGGTACAAGGGCTATCGTTGTTTGGATTCTACTACAGGCCGTGTGTATGTTAGTTGTCATGTAAGGTTTCACGAGGATACATATCCCTTTAAAACCATTAGGCAGCCTATTCCATCTCCTTCCCCTAACCGACCATCCCCTATGGCTCTTACCGACACCTCACCCACACCATCTGCTCCAACTTCACTCGTTCCCCAGCCCTCAGCCGTAGGGCAACTTCACTCGTTCCCCAGCTCTCCACCGTCCTTCTTGCATTCTACTACCAGAACGCCTTCCCTATCCCACCCACTGTCGTCCTCTTCCCCTTCCCCGTCAGCCTGCTCCACCCCAACGTCCTTAACCTTGAGTCCAACCCCTTCTGTTTCAGAATCTGACAATAGGAAAACTACCCCCGATTCCTATTCCCATCCCAACTCTTCCCACACCGAGACCAGCCCTCCTTCATCCGCCTCCATTGCGCCCCCGATGGTCCTCAATCAGCATCCAATGCAAACCCGTGCCAAAGCGGGAATTTTCAAACCTAAAACCATTTTTCATCTCAGTACAGTTGTTATTCCTGCGGATCCTATTGATAGAGAGCGGGAAGAGCATGGGGCGGGACCGGGCATGGGCCCACTTCCGTGGGCCGGGTTAGGGCTATCGTTATAGTTTAATTATTATTATTAAGTTAATGTTATGTTTTAGTTTGGGCCTATTATTAGTAGAGTAGTTAGTTGAGTTAATTTGGGCTTAATTAGAGTTTATTTAATTTGGGCTTGATTAGGGTTTCTTGTAGAAGGCTTTTTATACCCCTCGCCGGGGTTCAGTCTGATTATCTTGGAATAAAGTTAGAGTTTAGCCTTTTGGCTTTGAGCAACGGTTCACCCCGTTGATTTCTATTAATCCGCTACACATCAATTGGTCCGACCTGCCGGATCCCGTCCCGCCAGGATGACGAGATCTCAAAACGATCGATTGACCGAGTTAGAGACCGAGCAACACCGAATGGGAGAGGAGCAAGCCCGATTGAGGGAAGAGCAAACCCGAATGGCGATTGAGCAGAATCTGATGAATCACACCCTCGAAGAACACGGCATGCGGCTGGCTGAAATCGCCGCCTCTCTGGCGGCGCTAACCCAGGCCCTTGTACCGCCGATCTTGCCGGAAATTTCTACTGTTGCGGTCAGAAGTGCTACCGTGACAGCACCCATCGCCGACAACCTGCCACCGATATCGCAGGCAGTTTCCTCGGCTGCGGTCGGAAGTGCGACCGTACCAGCGGCCAACGACGGCGGACTGCCCAGCGCAACCACCGCTCTCCTTCCCTCGTTCGACGGCGAAGACCCCATTGGATGGCTGGCGAGAGTGTTTCATTATTTCACACCAACTACAGAACAGAACACGTTGATTTAATTTAATGAAGATAATAATAATGATTCTTTGCTTACCCAAAAAAAATACAAATATTACTCTCCCGAATTATTATGCATTTGATTTGATTCACCTCAATATTTTGTTATTTATATATAAATGTTACCTTACCCATAAAACTGGAGAAAGAGCATTGTTCGGAGGGTTAACTCTCTAAAAAAGGATGACACCCCATCCCTGAGGCCTCCCAATCTCGACTGGACGGTACGTTGGAAGGATGTAAATTGGACTATAATCAAAATCTGACAGATAGAGAGTGAGCTCAGTCTCCGCTATTTGCAGAGGCCATATGCATTTTTAGCATAGTAAGCTCTCATCGCAGTTGTCGGGATTCGAACTTGGGACATAACCCTTGTGGCACGCCCTCGCTGCCAGTTGAGCTACGCCGACTGGTTCGGAGAGTTAACTCTCTAATGTTGACGTGAAGAGCCTTTGCTCATTTACCTCCCAAACGGCCAAAATAAAAAGAAAAAATCAAAATGCGTGGATTATTTACGCAAGAATTAAATATACTAATTTAAGTACACTTTGAAAAATTTGATGGTTATATAATATAAAATATTTACCGATGATTAGTGTGATGTAATATGGATTATGTATTATGTTTAATCCATGATTATTAAATTGTTATTTGATAGTATTCATTATTTTCTAAAACAAAAATGAGAAAGTATGACGTTCCAAAAAGAATAATGAAAACTGATAGACAATACAGAGTAACAAATAATGTCTTATACGCAGTATATCCATATATATTCCGTACACGTTCACCAACAGATATGCAAAACAGTACTAATAAGTCAACATTTCAAATCATGTTTATAGCTTTCATAGTATTCGTATTCGTATAATACTACCTCAGACTTGTTGACTTTTGACAAGTGTAAAGTAGGTTAGAAATAAAAAAAGTAAAAACGTAGTTCAGATTTGTGCAGAAGAGAGAGAAATGTGCAGAATTACAAATTAGTTGCTTTAATTGGAAAGTAATAAAGTTTTTTGAGACAACAAAAAAGAGAAAATTGGCAAAGTGGAATGGGACCGAAGGAGTATTTATTTCAAGAAAGTATATCCAACGTATCCTATTGACTGAGCCTCGTAAGCAAATAGTCAAATTTACTGTTGAACAATAGCTTAATTAGATCATACTATCATAGTGATTTAATGCCTTGCCTCGCTCATTAATAATTTAAAATTGACAACTACGTACAGTTGATCCCTAGCTAACTACAAATATTATCCTCCGTTCCGTTTTTGTCGCAACATGTTGAATTTTACACTATTCACATACTCTACATTGACTATATTTTACACTATTATTTTATGGAAAAAAAATTAAAAAAATATCGTTCAAATCATCTCATTACAAATTTTCAAAATCTGTTTTTTAATATTTTTTTACTAAAAGAATTAAGATATAATTACGGTTAAAATTGTTTGTTATGGATCAGAAAGGTCAGAACACATCGCTACTAATGCCGCTTTCACATAAGAAAGTGGAGGTGGTGCTACTTATTGACAAACTTTGGCTCTATCGAACATGCAGGGAATTGGAGGTAGCATTCTACCGATGTCAAGTCATGGACTGGTTTCTTCAGCCCTTTTTCTGTGTTGGGTTCTAAAAGACGTGCGTTGCCAAATGTGAAATGTTGACCGTTGCAACTAAAAAAGAATTGAGGGAGTATAATTTATTTAATTAATGTGATACTCCGTTCATATAAAGGACTTTGTTACTGTGTTCTGTTTTAGACTTTTTGTGCTTGTGTTTTGATGAAAAAGTATACTTTTTGCTTATATATGTTGAGGTATGATTGTATTCATTCAATTCTATGAGTTATATCCCAAATTTTTCATTTGCTTGGGCCGAATGACAAAAAAAACTTTATGGTTGAAATTTATTTAGCAGAAATTAACGTACTAGTCTTTGTTTAAAAATAAACACCGAAGGAACCCGATCCATTAAATGTCTTGACAAAGCCACGCTATCAGTGATGTCAACAATCAAATTAATATTATTAATACAATAATGTATAAAAATATTAATAATTACGTAGTTTTAAATTTTAACTAATAAACATGTTCTTTAATAGTTTTATGAGAATTACTTGGATCAATACTTATTTGTCTCATGTGTTCAATTTATTCGATCATTCAATATTAATTTCATTTATATTATTCAAACATCAACCAAACCAGTACGGCGTAAGATACATCCAAAAACCTTTGAAATCGCTAAGTAATATATAAATTAAAATAACCATTTAACTACTAACAGTGTTCAATTTTTTTCTTAAAAATAACTTTCTATTTTGTTGATTTTTGTTTAAATCAAACATGAAAACAAATCGATAGACAGAGAGTAGATGTTGAGAAATATGTGTTGTCATTTCCTATATATTGACTTTGGTTTTTTTTAAGGAAATAGCTTACATTAGAATCAAAATAGACATTACATCAATCAAGATCCAAAACCAAAAACTCCCACTAGACCCACAATACCAAAAGCCATAGAATAGTCCACCCCAATAGCAGCGAGACTAATCGCTGAAACGGTGAAAGCAAAGAAGCTATTAGCGACTGTGACAGCCTGATTGCCTTCATCAAGAAAAAACCTACTCAGAAAAACACAACTTACCATACCCACACCCTTATTGTAAGTGAAAGTAAAAAACCAGCAGACAACTGAGTTCTGAAATAGAAAAAAGAGTACAATAAAAATAACATTCCAGGTGATGGATGTTGTTAACTTCCATCCCTTGTGTCTTCCCCACCTCATCTTCTATTTGTCTGACAAGCGAGCTTTGTAGCCCGTCCCCTCCCCGTTTTTTGTTATGCTCGTCTCCACATCCATATCCTTATGTGCTGCTTCTTGTTCCTCATGGTCCACACATCTGCGCTTCTGTTTCACCTTATCTCATATCTGAGCATTGTCCTTCTCCTGTTGCGGTCTTCCATCTGCATCTGAACTGGCCATCCCTAATACCTCTTCTTCGTCTTTTCCTTTCCCTTTGCCAACTGGGACTAGCCATTTGTTGCCTCCCCCAGATGTGTTTCCTTTTGAAGCTCTCAGTTCGGGTCCAAAGCGAAAGCCTCCACTTTTTCCCATGCCATTAGGATAATGCGGGCAGAACCTTTCTGCATGACCTATAACTCCGCAAGCAAAACAAAAACTAGGCAATTTTTCATACCTAAATTTAACGCAAAAGCTTTCCCCTTTGTCTGATTGGAGAAACAGTTTCCTCTTGAGAGGCCTGTTCAAATCAATACTAACCCTTACTCTCATGTTCATCCACCTTGATAAAACACCCTACAAAATTCCCAAATTTTATAGCATTTTCAATTGAAAAAAATCTCATTGGTACGTCATGAACCTGTAGCCAGAAATCAGCCATATTCAGCAGAATATGCAAAGGCAGATCCCCTTGCTTGAACCTAGCAAGCACAATTAGGTTCTGATCGAAGGTCAACGGCCCTTCCTCCAACACATGTATCATATCATTTTCATTGTAAAATTGAAACATGTACCTTTGTGTGCTTATCTCAGTAATAGTTACACCTCTAGTAGGCTTCCACACATTGGCCATAGTGTCACGGAAAAAAGAAAATCGTATCGATTTTTCAGAAGTGACTGTTCCAACCAAGGTCAGCCCTACCTCCGCGATCTCAGAAGTTTTAGCCGCCACGAGGATGACTTCATCTTCCTCCTCCATTTCCAATCTTCCATACGCATTTGCTAGCCTATTTATCTCCTCCATCTCGTTAACGTCGTCCATATTGGATTGCCTTCCTTCACAAAATAGTCGCAGCCCTGACGAAATCAGACGCAGAAGAAATCAGCCGCAGCCCTGAAGAAATCAGCCGCAGAGGATATTGTATCGACCGGCCCAGAAGAAATCAATCACAGCCCTGCAATCCGCAACCCTGCAACTCTGAAACCTTGCTCGTTCGTTGTAAAGATAAAGCAGTTGGTCGAAGAGATCAACTGGATCGAAGAAATCGCAGTAAGAAGAAATCAATTGGATGCACGCTATAAACAGCGGTTCCTTAGTCCCTGCACCGATCGTCAAGCGGAGGAAAAACGCCGACCCCAAAACCGCCGACTTAACCTAGCTGTGGCGCACAAAGGATAATACCCGCGATCTATTAAAAAATCATGTCACTCAATGATATATATTGACTTTGGTTTTAAAAACTATGGTGTCATTCATAAAAAATTCAATTTTCATTTCTATATACATAGAAAGAGATCATGTCGAGGTGTCCAGCCATCCGGACAGAAAGGAACCTTCGTCCAACCATCACCGTTTGAGATGGTTTCCAGTGAACTTTTTTTATGAAATTTTGTGAGAATATTCTTCATTAAGTGTAGATTATGTTCAATGATTTCAGTAATTTAGCCGCAATGTTTTTTATTTTAAAATTTAACCAGAAATTCAGGTAAATAAATTATTGAAATGTAATGCACTTTATATATATTTAGGCTCAATGTTTTTCTTAGTTAACTAACTTCCCGATTGAGTTTTAAACTAAAACTTTATGGACTTATAAAAATATTCTCACAAAATTTCATCAAAAATTCCACCGAAAACCACCCCATAATCTCATATGACGGTGGCCGAATTATTGGACAAGATCATTCCTCTATATACAATACACCTAATTTTTTTTTGAGTGGTGTCATTGGACTGTTTAATACACTGAACAGAAATCAATTTCAAGGCATATGTACTAGTTGGCTTGAAATCCAGAAATATTATTTGTGCAACTGTATGTGCACTGACGCAAAAATCAATGTATGAGCATAGACACTAGTTGTGTATGAGAGGCGTTGGTTGTTTGTGTGATGAGAAGGCAAAGAACTAATTATGCCTCGCAAGGGATTGTTTTTGTTGGGGAGAGTGGGAAGGTGCAACTTGTATTTACAAATATATTTACATTTAGTAACTCAGACAATGATTGAGAGTGGGAAGGTGCAACTTGTATTTACTTGGCTAAATATATAATTATTTGTAGTCTAAGGCTACCAACTAGAAATGAATTATTTGAACAAAACAAATATCTTCTTTAAATTTCAAGCCCTGAATTTCAGAATTACTCCTATTATAGGATCGTGACTTCCGGACTCCATAAGCAAATAAAGCATTATATTCTACCGAACGAGCTTTGGGAAAACACCGAAAAAACTGGTGAGATAAGTAGCAATAATACATAATTAGCCATGAGTGGAAAACTACTTGCATTAACTTTTCATAATATTTCATTTTGACCCACCAAACAAACATAAATCAATACTAGGGATGATGGGTAAAATTTTAATATAACATCCATCAATCTACTCTACGAGATAACATGAAGTCATGAATTTCAAAACATACACCTAACGTTTAGCTGGTAATATATACAACGAATAAGCAGGAGCCTATGTAACAAGGAAACGAATGAAATGACAATAAAAAAACAAAACAAAAATAGCATTAAACCTTATCGAAAAATAAAATTTTCAAGTGTAATCTCAGAGCTGGAAGTTCTTCTTAGTCCCCCCTCTAGTAGTTAATAGAATTCATTTCAGCTAAGGGTGACCGTAATATGACACCAAATTTTATATAGAAAAGTCTCTCTTTACATTTGATTGCTTTGTATGAGCTTGAGCCACACAGCCCCATCCCCCCAATTCTTAAGACCTGAAATTTTATATCTGAAGGCAGCTGAAAAGAAAAACTCACCCATACACAAAATGACAAACAGGCCATTCCCGAAATCAATCATTCAGAGTAGTCTGTCTATCAAGAGAAATTGTTGCCAAACCGGACTTGGGCTCTTCATCTGTGTTCTCCCTGAGGTCACTTCCACTTTTCTCAATACTTTCAGTTTTAGCAATAACTGCTTTTAGTGAACAGGTGGGAGTACCTTCTTCAAGAGTTGGAGTATTAGAGTCTGAAGCAGCTTGTTGAGAACAAGATACATTTTCTTTCACTCCATGATCATCGCAAACGGAAGTATTTTCTTTCACGCCAACACATGCATTAGAATTAACTGAGGGTACCCAAGTAAATTGCAATGCATGACCCTGCCAGCTTTTAGCATTCAAAAATGCTCTTTCCGCAGACCGGCGTGATGTGAAGGATACCAGGGCAGAGACTTTAGACGTGTCCGATCTATCCTCTGCCTCTGTTCCTTCAAGCTCCACAGAAGAAAGTTCACCGAAGGGAGAAAAGTGTTCCTTTAAAAGAGCAACCTAAAAACACAACACCAACGACTCCTATCATTCATCATTCATTAAAGGAAAATCAAAAAACGAAGAGCATATCAAACAAAAATCTGCAACATGAGATTACAGAGAATAAAATAGAAAACAAGAATGAAGTAGGAAAGGTTTCCAATATTATGGGCACACCACTAGCATATATTAGTGTGAAATGATTATGACTTATGAGAATCTAACAAGAGTCCAAGCAGACAGGAAAAGAAGAAAACAATCAGCAAGCTATGGAAAGGAGGTTAATTCTAACATGAAGCCACCAATAAACTTGTGTAGTTTTGGCATCAGTGGAATACATATTCATACAGAAAATGACAGGGGAAAAATAGTGAACACACTTTAACATCAATAAGGGGACAGAGGGGCAACCCGGTGCTGCACATTAGCATCCCCGCAAGGCGAGGGTCCAGGAAAGTGTCCGACCACAAGGGGTGTATAGGGTCTAGGGAGCAAGCCTTCCCCTGTCATTTTGACAAGAGGCCGCACTCAAGACTTGAACCCTCGATCTCTCAATCACACAACAACACCATAACCGGTGCGTCAAGGCTCCTAACATCAACAATGGAACAAAACAAAAAATATCAGGTCAAGGCCTCAAAGGGGGATGCAAATAGATAACCTTTGCCAGCGCACTTGGTATAGGTGGATTGATTTTGAAAGCTGTGGGGCGGTTGTCCAGTTTGTATCTATTAAAGATAAAAGGAGCCCCTGTAGGTGCCAATGGACGAATTGACTGCCTCAAGGGTTCTGACGTATCCGCAGTAGAAGATGATTTTGAACAAGACAGCAGTCCATCTTCTGCAGATTTATCACTATTGGGCATTACTTCGGTATGTTGAGATGATTCGGCAATGTCAGATTTTATGTAGCTTGATGTTTCAACTTTCTTGATGTCAGCTACCCTTTCTCCATTATGTTTCTTGGCAACATGATCAGGTTGTCCTTCACCTTTAAGACCTGAGGCCTGCAGAAACAATATTTTTAGGATATACAACAACATCCCAGCCTTATTCCCAAAAGATTTATTTTTAGGATAGTGACAATTTATTTCATTTCTCTTTTTGTCTTCATAATATAACAACTTTCAAAAATTAAAACTTGTCATTTGACAGCTTAACATAGACATACCATTAAAGAAGAGACACAAGAAAAACTAAATATGAAGAACCATTGAGTAAACATATTGAATAAGCTCATCGAGCCTACACATTCACCCCACAATGGATTATGGTTTCTATTAAGCTATTTCACACCAATTACATATAAAAACAAAAACCTATATATAAGGTATCAGAACAAGTTAAGTTCAAAACAAACAATTAACTTCTAGTAAGCCTCAACAAAGAGAAAACGGACTACAAAATCAGCAATGCTTGGTGTACACATATTGTGTACACCATGCCTAGTTTTCTGTCTACAAGACAGCTTCTTAACGAATGCCTTTGTGGACAAACAACTAGGGAGGGTGTACACAATATGTGTTCAAACTATGTGTACCAACAACATTTTTGCTACAAAATTTGTTTGCCCCAATGAGCCACTATCTCGTGGGGCATATTAAGCTATCCTACACCGGTTACGTATAAAAACACAAACCAACATATAATGCATTGGACTATTCTTTCTATCAGGTTGACCTTTTAAGATGGAACCCCAAATCTTAATAGTTTCAACCAGAAAGTAGAATAGAAACATGGTCCGACCACATTAGAGTATTAGACCCATAAAACACTAAAACCGGCGAAAAAAGGCAATACAGTTATGTTGGTAAAGATTGCAAAGGACATTCTAACGTATGGGAAACAACATTATCTACTCTCAAAACGTCAAACAATACATTTCAATACCAAAAAGCCTAGTCAATCGTTTGTTGGAATGGCATTGAAGAAGGGTACAAAGCTTCTAATAGATGCTTCTTTCTAGGATGAAACCAAAGAATGCTGTGAATCTGCTGGTAAAGAAGCTTCTGAAAGAAAATTGACATCATCATATGATTTCCACCTAAGAAAATTCTACATTTTCCCTGACTCACATGCCCTGGATAGCTGGATAATTACATAAGTTGACGCTAATACAACAACAACAACAACATCCAAGCCTTAGTCCCAAAAGATATTGGGGTCGGCTAACATGAATCGATACACGATATCACCACCAAAAGGAAAAGAAAGGAAATAAAGATAAAAAAGATAAGCTATTATAAAAAGATAATATAAAAAGAGATGAATATACATAAAAATGATAAAATAAAAAGGATACAAATAATGCTTATATATATAAAGATAAAAAACAAGGAAAAAAAGATGAGGGTAAAAAGATACGAGATCACTCCTCCACATGACTTAGCTCTCTCCAAAGTCATGCCCTCATCCAACCCCAGAAGAAGCATATCACTTCGAACTCCCCTAACCCACGTCTGTTTGGATCTTCCTCTCCCTCTCTTCTCTGCCTCTTCTTCTCCACACATCTCAACTCGTCTAACAGGTGCATCACTCGGCTACGGACATGACCAAACCACCGTAGGCGCGACTCCCGCATCTTGTCTTCAATAGGTGTTACTCTCACCCTTTGTCTGATTGTCTCATTCCTCACGCGGTCCTTCCTAGTATGCCCACACATCCAACGCAGCATGCGCATCTCTGCCACACTCATCTTTTGAGTGTGACATTGTTTCACCGTCCAACACTCTACGCCATACAGTAATGCAGGCCTAATTGTTGTCCTATAAAATTTACCCTTCAATCTAGTCGTCATACCTCGATCGCATAGAAATCCTGACGCACTCTTCCACTTCATCCACCATGTTCTGATTCTATGGGATAAATCTCCATCTAACTCACCGTCCTTTTGAATTATGGAGCCCAAGTAACGGAACATATCGCTGAGAGGTATCTCCTTATCATCCAGAGTAATTCCACTATTACCACTGCTTCTACCACCACCAAACTTGCACTCCATGTACTCTGTCTTGCTCTGACTTAGTTTGAAACCCTTATTCTCCAATGTTTGTCACCATACTTCCAACTTTGATTTAAGACCTGATTGCGTCTCATCAATCAATACAATATCATCGGCAAACATCATGCACCACGGTATATCGTCTTGAATTGACTTCGTAAGTTCATCCATGACTATGGCAAATAAGAAAGGGCTCAGAGCCGATCCTTGGTGCACTCCGATAGTAATAGGGAACTCTTCAGTCCTTCCTACACTAGTATGGACATTTGTAGTACAATCCCCATACATATCCATGATGATGCTGATATACTTGCGTGATATGCCTTTCTTAGTTAAGGCCCACCAAAGAACTTCTCGAGGTACCCTATCATATGCCTTTTCTAAGTCAATGAACACCAAATGCAGATCCTTATGAACGTCTCTATACTTCTCCATAAGTTGCTGAAGAAGGTGAATGGCCTCATTTGTTAAGCGACCAGGCATAAAACCGAATTGATTCTCTGAAATCTTCACAGTTCTTCAAAGTCTTTGCTCAATCACTCGCTCCCAAAGTTTCATGGTGTGACTCATAAGCTTAATCCCTCGATAGTTTGTTTATTCTTGTACATCACTTTTATTCTTAAATAAGGGGATAAGAGTACTCTTCCTCCAACTCGTTGGCATCTTGTTGTTTCTCCAAATCATGTTGAAGAAACTTGTTAACCACTCGACGCCACTCTCTCCCAAACGTCTCCAAACCTCGATCGATATGACATCTGGACCCACTGCTTTCTTCCATCCCATCTTCCTCAGAGCTTTTTTAACTTCCGTTGTTTGGATCCGTCTCACAAAATCATGATTTACCATACAATCCGGTATGGACAAATCACCGATATCTTGCGTTTTGTTCCCGTTGAATAGTGCATCAAAGTATGACCTCCACCTCTCTTTTATCTCTCCGTCATCCATTAATATCCTCTGATCGACATCCTTCACACACTTAACTTTTTGCAATATCTTGAGTCCTGCGATCACGAAGACGAGTAAATCTATAAATATCTAGTTCTCTTTCCTTAGAGTCCAACTTTTCAAACAACTCCTTGTTCACTTTCCCTCGTGCTTCCCTTACGACTTTCTTTGCTTGTCTTTTAGCCTCCTTGTATGCTTCTATGTTCTCATCACTCCAACTTGTCCCCAACATTTTGTAGCAATCTCTTTTGTTCCTTACAGCTTGTTTCACCTCATCATTCCACCAAGACGTGTCTTTTTTAGGTGGCAGACATCCTTTAGATTCTCTAAGTACCTCCTTTACCACTTTGTTAATGGTCAACTCCATTGATAACCACACATCATCCACATGTGTTTCATTATCAATACGCCATACATCTTCAACGACCATTTTGTGTGTAAACTGTAAAGCTTTGTTGAAGATCTCTCTCAAGCCTCCACCGCTTTATCTTTGGCTCTACTTGTTGTTTAACTTGTCTTATATGGTTCTTACCTCGAAAGTCAAGCACAAGCATCCTATGTTGAGTGACAACACTCTCACCTGGAATAACCTTACAATCAGTGTAGCTAGTTCTCCAAGTGGTCCGTACTAAGTAGTCAATTTGGGTACTATTAGCTCCACTTTTATAGGTTACAAGGTGAGAGTCTCTTTTCTTACATAAGTTGACGCTAATGTTGTGACGAAATCAGGATAATACATCAAAGTTGAGGATAAATTCATTAGCAGATTTTTTTCAAGAAATGACAAGAAATGGGAGTAAAAACAATGTGATATTTTAACATATGAGTACCGTGTTTTCCCATAATGATAGTAAACACTTCCATGTTTATTTTTGTTGAACAAAAGTGAATAGTAGTACTACTACTCTACGACTACAACAACTTTTCAATACTAAAACAATGGTCAGTTAACGAACCAATACAAATATCACAAGGTCATCCACTCAGTTTCTGATTTCCCACTCTTTTATGCCATGTATAATACTTCCGTAAAACCACAACCAATAGAAAATATCACACAGTCATCAACTCAAATTCTATTGTTCCACTCTTTTATGCCATGTATAATGCTCTCAATTAAGCCACAACACCCTAATATCCTTGTTAACACTTACATCCATGTCATTTTGGACCTACCACCTACCAGTCTACAACAACCTCTCTTTGGGTCTTTAGTACTTCAAGGCTACTCCTCGTTGAGGGACACATATTTCTCAAAGTTTGACATACCCAAACAAATGTGAAGGGTTCTCCCTTATTTTATGTTCACAGACCTACATCTAGGCTCGTGGATATCTTCATGCATTCCATTTTTTAGCCTTGCAGTAAACCCATCTTAACATGCGCATCTCTGCCGCATTCATTTTCCTTTTGAAATCTTTCTTCTCACCCCAACATTCAAATTTATTTAATAAAGCATCTCTTATTGCAGTCATAAATATTCCCGTCAATCCTAGGGGTACATTACAATCACACAGTATTCCTGTCCCTCATTCTACTTTAGCTAACTTGGATTTGTAACAAGTGACACCTTTTTTTAGTATCTTCATTTTCGGTAAAATGGGATCTTAATTCTTAAATATCTGAAACAATCACTCCCTGGTAGCTTTTTCCCACCCAATATCAATCGGTGTTGCTTTATCTCTAGAAATGACAAAAACATTATTACTTTAACCTTTATTAAACACTAGTAATTCTAACGTGTCTCCATGTTTTTATCTAAGCACTCAACTTGTCCTAAAAATTCATTGGCTCATAGGATACCATCTGCAAATAACACACCAAGCCACTTCATCTTAGAAATTTCTAGTTAATCCATCGATAATGATCACAAATAGGAATCGGCCTAATGTAGATCCTGCTAGCTTTAGCATTCAAAAGTGCTCTTTAAGCAGACCATCGTGATGCAAAGGATACATGGGCAGAAGAAAGTCCACCAAAATGAGACTGTTCCTTTAGGAGGTGACCCACCAACTCTTGCGTACTTGCCACAGGAAGTGTGATGCACCACTGGGTAGTGGGTACTGGGTAGGGATTGGTGAATGCCTCATAATCACCACTTCACCAACACTACATTAAAATATGTTTCAAAAAGATGGATTGACATTTAATTTTTGTTAATTCCAGCTTCAAATTTTTTAAGCATCAACAAACTAGAGCACTAAATTTTTACCATTTATATTGTTACTATCATTGCTCTAAGGATCAATTCGACAGTTCAATTTCTTCATGTTATCTACAGAAGTGTAGAACCTCCGTTAAAAAGAAAAAAAATATCCACCTAGAATAAAGATATCACTGTAATATTTTATACAACTTTCTAAAGTTACTTCTTATATTTATTTATTTAACCTGGCGCCTTATATTATTTTATAAAAAGATACTGTATATTTTATGTAAATTTGTTTTCTTGTTAAAAGAAATCTGGTTTGATGCTGGTTGAGCCATTAAAGAAGCACTCAACCACCATGTCGCTATGATGCCTGGCTTTAATGCCTGGTTTCCGTTACAAAAACATTGGTTAAGAAGTCATATAATAATCCCAGTCCTGCAAAAAGGATGAAGTTAAAGGAAACCACAACCTACGTACATTTTATCTAACGCACTTTACTTTGGTCTAATACTGTAAGGTACCCAACACATAAATAATGTGAAGCATTTCTGCATAGAAAGCACTTTGCTGAATGGAAAAAAAACTGAATGAAAATGAGATAAAGTGTCAAATTACTTGTTTCTCAAATTCAGCCAACTGACGACGGAACTCATTCCGCTTTTGATCAAGCATCTCCTGCTTTTTGCGAAGTTCTTCTTTTAACAGTTCTAAATTCTCCATCTTCTTTTGAGGGGCTGGAGCTTTTGGGGTATTAGCAACCACAGGCTTAGGAATATTGGGGATTAGTTTGGGCACAGATCCCAAAGTTTCTTTTCCTTTATAAGCAACAGAATGATGGGTTGAAGCAGAAGTAGTTGTCATTATCGGAGCAGTGGTTTGTGCATTATTGCCACTGATTACTGCATTGTGTGGAATGTTGTCCCTATTAGCCCACCAAAGTTTGATAAAACGGTTGCCCATTACAGCATCGGGTGCCTTCAAAGCTGCCTCAGCGGCTTCTCTCTTAGAAAATTGGACAAAAGCTCTTTCACTTTTCATGGGGATATAAATGTCAATAACCTCTCCAAATTTTTTAAAATGTGAAAAAATGGCCTCTCTTCTGTTGTCAGTTAGTGGAATGCCGCTGACAAACAGAGTACAATGTGCCTTTTGAGAAGACCTCCGAGTATCACGTCCAGAATCATTTTGCGACTTAAAAGATGTTCCTGCTGATGCTGAATCAAGGTTTTCTACATCCACATTCTTCCCATCACTTCTAGATAGATATGGTTCGTTTTTAGCTTCACTTTCAATTTGAATTGAAGAATCAATGCTTGGTCCAACTTTTTCTTTGATTTCCAATTTGCCTTTTGAACTCTTAATTCGACCCCAAACACCTTGAGATACTGTGGCTGCCAGATTACTTGCAGTTGGGTGTTGAGTGTCATAGCATTCAGATAGCCTGGGCTTACCATGATTAGATGAATCTGGATCCATCAGCTGTGCAGTTTCATCAACACTTGTCCATAAAGGCTGATCAGGATCATATACATCTGCTCCCCCAGCCATTGAACCTCCTGTAAGTGCCACATTAAATCCTAATCCATCATTGGTCAGTCCACTTTTTCCACCCTTCATATGAGCTTTATTCATCAATGAGCAAGTAGGGCCTACTGCAGATAAAGCTCCTTGTCCACTTGCTGTTCCAAGCATGGGTGCGCTAAGCGTAACAGGGAGATTAAACTGAGAAAGGCTCTGCAATTATGACATGCCCAAAAGTCAAGATAGTATTCCTCTGTTGTATATTTGTATTCTATAATGATAATTAGACAACATGCATATGATTGCAGAACATAATTTACTAAGACATGATCCAGCAAAGAATTTCACGAACACAATTTTCAAAAACAATTTGAAGTAAAAATTTGAAAGTGGAATTGTGGAAATATAAAAATAGAAAAAAGGAGTGGCCTGATCAGTTATGTTCAAAAACTAAAACCAAAAGTGGACAACGATAAAGTAGACCATTTTGCATGCTAGCAAAAAATCCCTTCAAAACTAATGCTAGAAACGAGACTGGTTGTATGTACATAGTCAAAAGTTCATAAAGAAAAATGCAGATGTGTAACTTATCAAGCACCTAAATGTCTAACCCCAGATGATGGATAAATTTACGAGGTGTCTAAACTAAAAGAAACAAAACTAATTAGCCACACCAGAAGTACACAAGGAGCTAACTAGCTAAGTTATCACAATCTAAATAATTTAATATTATACCACACTAACTTGTTCATTATCAGAGTATACTGATATACATATTAACAACATTATCAGTTAGCTCAGCTGAAAAGCCTGAAAGACATATACCTGAACATCCTCAATAACAATACGGTTCATTCCATGCTCCATTGGACACATATCACCTCTTAGACAAAACCCACGCTCCTCAAAGTCTTTACATCTTTGCCGAGGTATACCCATACCAATGGCAGGGTTCATGGGTGCTCTAAGTGCTCCTTGCAAGGAAAGGGGGTGGAGTGGATCAAGGCCAGTAATAGGCATTCTAGGAATCATGCCAAATGAATTCCAAGGTGAACTTGGTCCATTAGAAACATTCGGCAAGCCCCTTCCGGCAAAGAGACCAGGGGGGACAGAACCTTGTTGACCCATTTGGGATGAAATATCAAATCGACTGAACCTAGAATCATGTAAGGTCCATAAACTAGGTTCCCTTCCCCGACCCCTTCCAGTGCCAGGTTCTCTAGACAGTGATTGATTTGACCACATTTTTGGGTTCACATCTTGTTGATCTCTGAAAAGTGAATTGATACCTCTTTTCTTCTCAAAAGGTGCAGTTGCTTCTTTCTCAAAAGCATAAGATACAGAGTCCCTGTATAGGTGTCCATTTCCAATGGGCTTGTTGCGCTTCCTGTAGGGTCTCGTCAAAGCTGATTCAAAAGGAAGTGCCTCAGACTCGGGATGTATATCCCTTCTTCGATGCTTATGATTACGATCATCATCATCATCCTCGCTGATTTCTTTCTCTTCTTCAGGGCCACCATTACAATCAGAAGATGAAAGAACTCTCTTTGGAGATGAATATTTTAGCTCCATAATTTAAAGCACACAATCTTTACTTATGACATCAAAACTTGCTTCGGGGGCAAATACATTTACTTGAAGTAAATCATTGGGGCGAAGCTAATTCACCATCGTCTCTTGCCCCTGAAGAAAACGACATTATCGGAGGAAATCAGCTATTTTCTCTAGGGAAATACATTTGAAACAAAAAAATAAACTATGATGAGGGATCACACCTCTTTTCAACAAGGCTCAGAGCCCCAGAACTCAATAGAGAATGTATTGCATACACCAAAAGCATAATTTACCAAAAGAACATACGGAGTAATTTATAACACAATACAAATGCTAAAACTGGTTCTGACTTCTGAAGGAAATAATCTCCACATATATTTTTCATTTTTTCTTATTGCTTCAAATTGTGTATGACTGTAGTCATTAAGTAACAGTTGAGTATTAGTTAATTCTCGTGTATCATCTAGACAAAGATATTGGTGAGAACATGTGCAACATTTCCCTTGTGCATCGAGCAACTTGTTGGAAGAAAATGTTTTTGGTACTAAAGAGCTGTTGTTATTAATATAAGGGGGCTCATGTATACTCTGATCCTAAACTTTCTATGATAGGACATCACCACATGGGGCAGGCTTTTACTAGGGAATTGTCTAGGATTCATCACAACTGAAAGTACACATATATTTTGCATCTGGATGTACACTGAAGTGCATTTTTTGTCCTATAACTACAAGGGTTGATAAAGTAATCGGTTACAACAATTTTTTAAAATATGAATAACTTAATCTTGAAACGCCGAAAATATCAAGGCTCAAGAGAAACTACCATTCAAATTAGATATCAAGTGAATTGATAGTGAAAGCACAATTTTATAACTCCCTCCATCCCAAAACTATCTTCCCACATTGACTTCACAGTTCACACACTTGTTAAGAAAGTGGAAATGTATGGTTGCATTTTATGTAAAAAGAAGATAAACAATAACAGCCACTGAAACTGTTCCTTAAAAGGAAATGGGAAGAAAATTTTGTTTCATTTTCTACATGCATTGTGATGTCGAGTATTTGTTTCATTTTTCATACACAGCCAAAATACAATAAACTAAGCCATGTCTCTTGTTCGCTATAGCTCATGTCACAGCAATGTTAATTTGTTACACATGGCCAAGAATACCACAAATTGTAATATCAGAAGTTACCAATTTACGAATCTATGCATATTCAGTTTTATATTCAACGGGTTAAAATAGTGTCCCAAAGAACTTTAGTTGCATACTACTACCCTGTTAGAAAGCACAGTTTTGTACATTATTGCAAGTATACCCATCAAAAACTATCCTCCCTTCGTCCCAAAATGAGTTGCAATTCTACTATTAATTGGTCAACACAATTCCTTTTATTTTCTGATTTGCAGTATCACTTTTTTATCATATTTGAATCATGTTTGTTACGATGGTAAGCAGGTAGCACCAGCTGACCTCTCCATCGCCTAGGCGACTGCACCCGCCTTGGTGACAATTAGGTGACTAGTCGCACCATATGTAACATTTAAATATATAAAATATTATGCTTTCATATATTTAATTTGTAATGTACTATATATTGCGTAGTACAAATTAAATTATATATTACCAAGAATTGAAATGAACATTGAATTATTCAAAAAAAATTATCAATTCAAAACAAAAATAAAATGTCCATCTCACATAAGGATGCTAATATACTGCAAGCAAAAAATATTTATGAAATACAACAAAGAAGATAATAGTATAGAAAGGATACCATATACTCTCCCTATCCTAGCTAAAATTTAAATGCATTAATTCAGAATAATGAATGTACAAACAAATTAACTACGACATAAAACAATTGTAAATGTTATATACAAGCAAACAACATAATTAAATAATGGGGGAATTTGCACCCCATTATTGGACTGTGCACTCCCATTTCAAAATCATTCATATTTGCACCCATCAGCTTAGAAATTGTGAAAGAGTAGGGTGCAAAGTCAAATGATTCTATAGTGAAATGGGGTGCAAGTATTAATAATTTTGAAAATGGGGTGCGAAGTGCAATATTGCCCGAAACATGGGGTGCAAAGTCAAATATCTTCTTAAATGATTACGTAAGGGAACCACAATATATGCAAGAAGAAAGAAGATGAAACTGAACAGGATGGAAAACGGAGAAAGAAGACCAGAAAATGGGACCTCTAGGGAAGAAAAATCCAGTGGACAATCTGTAATTCTGCTGGACTGTGTTCTGGCTTCTGAAACTCAGGCTTCACCGAAAATTCAAGTAAGACTTGGGCTTTATTTATGATAAATAGTCCTAATTAAAGTAGTTTCTAAACCTATTTTTGGGATTGTCAAAAAAACCTATTTTTTGGGCTCCGTTTAGTCGGTCTAAACTTCAAATCTGACGCCGCCCTTTCGCCAAACCTACACCTGGACTGCGCCTGGACGCCGCCGCAGTCGCCTAGTCTTCTTCCGACGAGGTGATGGCACCTGGCGACCACTCCCCATCAGACCGGGGCGCCTAGTCGCCGGCTAGGCGATGAAGTAACAACCATGATTCGCCCATTGTATAATAAATAATAATAAGCAAAGAAAAGAGAAAAAAAGTTTATAGAAATACAAGGTTTAGTTCAAAAGGTAACCCTTAATCCTCTTGGAAGATATGCAACAGCAAAGATGTATCGGATTCGTCAAAAGCATTAGTCCGAGATGGATCGAAAGAGCAAAGTATAATCAAAATAATTAGGGGCGAACCTGCAAATAAATTGGCGCCTTAGGGTTTCGATTTTTCCAATCGGAAATTGGAAGCGTTTGTTCGAGCAAGTAGGCGTGGGGCTCCAGCAAGAGCCGGGTCGCACTTCGGCACTGGTATAATATTCCTATACTATCTCTGTTTTCTACTTCCTATTTTTTACTCCCTAATTTCTATTGCTCTTTTTTCTTCTATTCATTTTTCTTTTGTGTACTTTTCGAAATAACTAGTAATTCCACCCAGCTCAAAGAATTTCATAGTCAATTAACCTAATTTAAAACATAAAATTAAAAAATAAAACAAAATAATCAAATTAAAGCATAAAATAAAATAAGTATTCATATTTAATACGAAATTAAAAAATAATGCTCAAAGTTAAGTACAAATCATGATGTGATATGTGTAGCAATGAGTATGGATGTATCATGTAAAGCAAGGGAATTGTAAATTAGTATAAACTTCTTTATATACTATATTCAACGCTGACTGTTTTGGTTTCCCTTCTTCATCACATATAACAAACTTTAAACCAAACGGACTTGTTACTCTCGAGACTGCCACATACAACTGTCCATGTGTAAAAATAGAACGACGAAGGAAATCAAATTGGTAACTTCCAATAGGGAAGGAGGAAGTATTTTTTTTTTCAATTTTCCTCATCCTTGTATATCACAAACTTCAAGCCAAATAAACTTGCACTCTTGAGAGTTGAAACTGCAAAATACATGCATAAGCACTAGACGTCAGAGGAAAACACTCACAATCTCTCATGACTGCCCTCGACTCTTTTTCATTGTCATCGCATAGTCTAATAAGTGTTATTTACAATGTTATTATTTTATGCTAAAAATAAAATAATTGTGTGATATGCAGTATTAAAAGAAAGTCATTGTTGATATTTAATGAGTCTAATTCTTCATTTGCGATCGTAAGCCGTCTTTAAACAAAAATTAGTACTACAGGTGTCGTCCATGGGATGTGTGTTGTATATATATAAATTTTTATATGTGAACACATTTATAGATTAGTGTATAGAACTACAAATATAAATTATCACACAATGAGTGAAATCACAAATAAATGATACCCGGAGTAGTAAATATTTCAAAACAATATACAGAGTATAATATATGGTTCAATTGTGAGCTAAAGATAGGGGTGGATTCAGGCCGGGTCCAGGTCGGGCCTAGGTCTAGGCGGGGCAACGGTTCTGAATAGGTGGACCCGGGTAGCCACCATGTCCGGTCCGGGTCCGGGCCAGGCCAGGCCGGACCTCGGGCTTGGTTATTTTTTTTTTTTGCTTACCTACCTATCCCTGACCCCCACCCCCCAAACCCCCCCAAACCCCTCCTAAACATCAAGCCCAACCCAGATGGAGCCCAAACAAATGAAAAAAACAAAAAAAAATGGCCCGAACCGAGCCCCGGCCCGATCGGGCTGAGCCTTGTTTTGGGTGACCCGAGCCCGAACCGGAAACCCCTCGGGTCAGGCCTACCCAAACCGGTCACTGATCGGGCCACCAGTTCGGGCCATGCCGAAACCGTGTCAGTCCCGGGCCGGTTCCGGGTCAGGCCACCCGGCCCGAGTCCACCCCTAGCTAAAGATGAGTTTGTATTTAATTTCTTTAGAGGTAAAAGTAGGCATGGACCGGGCTCGAGCCGGGCTCCGGGCCGATTCATAGCAGGCTTTTTTTCAGGATGTTGGACCCAAAACCGGTCCGGATTGATACCAGGTCCAGGCCAAAATCGGGCCGGCTCGAGCCCAATTCTATGTAATTTTTTTGGCTTTCTAATTAACCCCCGACCCCCCTCCCTCACCCCCCCAACCCCCCCCCCCCCCCCCTCCAACCCCCCCCCCCCCCCCAAAACACCCAACCTTACCCAAGGAAAAGAAAAAAAAATTGAAAAAAAAAATGAACCGCGCCCGAGCCGATTCATGAAAATCATGGTCCAAGCTCGGCCCGACAGAACCACCCAAACCGAGCTAAAGCCCAAAACCGGCCATCCGGGCCCGCACAGTCGCAGGCTGGTCCAGTTTCGGGCCGGTTCAGCCGGGTTGGGTCCATCCCTAGGTAAATGACCTGGGATGAAATGTATTTTGTCAAATGAAAGTGAATGGATTTGTAAATTTGTAAATTTATTAAATGAATGTATATATGTAGAAATTGGTATCTCGCCTCTGCGTTATACATGATATAATATGTGATTACTTTATATTTTAATTATGTTACACATTTAGAAATTATATTATTATTAATCACACAAAAATGAGAGACATTGTAAATAAAGCCAATGCTTTAGAAAAACATACTAAAAATACACGAGAGAAAAAAAAAGCTTTAGTGGAGATACAAATTAGAAATTACAAACGATGGGGCTCTTCAAATTAAAGAGTTAACCCGCTGAATTTTAATGACCAGTAACCATATCTGCTCAAGACTTTTGTTGTTGATGAACCCAATGAATTTTAATGTATATATCCAATAGAAAACCTGCCAAAAATCTGATGTCAAGTACATTTACAGCAAAAAAAATGCAATAGAAAAGCTGCCTAAAGAGCTCTCAAGTACATATGCAGCAGAAAAATGCAATAGATTAGCAGCAACCACCTAAATGTAAGACAATCCAACTGAAACTTGATCAAATCATGTAGAGAATCAACTTAAAACAGATTCTAAGCTTTCATAAATTAATAAAAGAACAGCCAAATATCTACCAAAACCATGCTTTCAAGTTGCAGCCTACTCTTCTGCAGATCATAAACTTTTCCTAACAAATGCTACCCATTAAATATTCATAACATCATAACAAATCAGTGGCAACCACCCAAGTAAATGATAAGCCAAGTGGATTAACTAAAAAATGATTCCAGTCCTCCAAAATCAATATAAAAAACAAAACTCAATACAATAACCATACAAAATAATTCCAACCCTCGAAAATTGAGAAGAACCAAATGAGGATTCGATGGCATCTTGTTTGACAAACAGCTGCTCATATCAAAACTCTTGTATTAGTTGTCTTCCACAAACTCTAATCTTGATAACTTGATACTGTTGGAAAAATATTCCATTTAAATGCCCTTGGACCATTTATATAATTTAATATATATTGGGGACATTTATGTCTTACCATTAAGTTTGCCATATGACAGATTTGGTTCTTGTATTTATGTATAGTTAACATATGATGGGTATGTTTTAACATTAAATAATACATAAAGGATCAAATGGGTTTCTCTTTGATACAAAATATAAAAGGCATCCGCCCATTCAATTCTTACTACTAAACGAGCGTACACGTTCATTCCCAAGGGTCTCAAGAACACCTATAATAAGAGACCCAAGGGAGAATCGTTTAATCCATCGAAATCTGCTTGTATCCTTAGAGAATCAAACGTCATGGCTTCATCGTCTTCTACGACACCATCAACATTCGGTTTCTCCTCAACCGGTTAGTGTTCTTATTTCTTGATTCTATGAGATTAGATTCTTACTTGGGACTGAATTTCTCAACATTTGGTATCAGAGCATGTTAATTCCCACTTACATGATATGTTTCTAAGTTTTCTGCCGTAATCAATTCATTAGCCTTCTGTTATTGCCTTTTTTGTTGTCTGTGTGAATCGTAATTTGTATAAGAAGTGACCATCCCATCTATTAATTATGTTTCTTCATATGAAAGTGATAGGTTTAAATGTGTTAGCACCATGTTATTTTCCTGATGTATAAGTGGATCGAGTGCCGGCATCATATAGCACTATCAGTTTTCATATATGGTTTACTCATTTTTTAAAACTCAATTTTGTTTTGAATCATTTTGTTTGCTTTTGGTTGTCCAACCGAACAAACTAAAACCATCCGTTTGTACTCCATATTTCTTTTCTGGAATCTAAAATCCGCATCACATAGAATCCACTTTGAATCTGTATTTTTTTTATGTTTAATTTTCATCCCAAATGCCGAGTTGCAAATAATCAGTTTTATTTTAGGAACATCCACGTTATATCAGGTTATGTTCTCCTTTTCTTTCTGTATGGATCGGACATGCATAGTAAAATGTGTTCGAACTTAGAAATGTAAATAACTTTGCATTTTACCGATTACAATCATCAATATTAACACACAAATGATGCACCAGTTATGTTTTGGACCATTACTTTTGCCGAATGCATGGAATAATGCTAATTGCTTTTTACAACCAAACACCTTTTAATCAATTGCATATATTCAGAAACTTAGTTGCTGATCGTGTATATGCATTTGTGATGGTTGTAAGACTAATACTGCAGCAACTTCAAAATTTCTGCCATATTGAAATCATAGTATGGATTATTGATTAATGATCTTAATGTCAAATTCAATGATTGGCCCAACGGAAGATTATTGATTTTGACTATCTTAAATAATTGTATGAGTTTTTCTTTTAACAAACCCAAAGGTGTGTTACTTGATAACTTGTATAATGAAATTTAAACGTAATCAAATGTGTTATATTTCTGCTCAAAGGTGATATGTGACACAATTTGCAACCTAATTTTAATTTTAATATCATAA